TCTTCATCAAATCATGAGTTTTACCAAATAAAACAATATAATACAAATTAGGCTATATTTTATTAAAAGAACACAAAATGTCATTATATAAAGCCTCGAATAAGTGTATAAAGTACACTAATCAAAACCCCCAAACTTGAACATTTGTTTGTTCTCAAACAAAATCATAACATAATTTAAAATAAACATAGAAGCATGCAAAAATATTTAACTAGTTAATCCGTCATTTAATCTCAGAATTAAAATAATGACATTAAGTCTAAGGACAACTTCAAGTTCACAATAAAAAGTAAAATTTACTTTTCTGATGCAAAGTCGATGTTTGTTTGTGACGAATTAAGCATAGTATTATGAATTCACAAATTGTTCCATTCCCGACCCTCAATAATCAAATATGTTCTTATCCCCATTTGTAAGATTTACACACCCCCGAATTTTTTTGGCTCTTTTCTAGTGTGTGATCTAATGTTGAATTTTATATTATCCTCACATATCTAGTTTAGGTAAATCTCACTAATTGCAGTTCAACATGTCAATAAACAATAAGTCTAAATCAAGTTTGACTACTTCAATCTCTAGGACTTAATTAGACTGATAATCCCTTATGGAAAGTCGAATTTTCCTAAATAAGTGTTTGAAACTTAATCAACGCATTTGGTGCGTCTTCTGTTTCATGCACTTATTTTTTCTAATTTTCTATATTTTTCTCAATTTTCTTTTTTTAATAATTTTTTTATTTGCAGCATTTTCTCCCTTAAACTTTTTAAATAACCTATGTAACATGCTTAAGGCCAATGACTCCTAAATCAGTTGACTTTAGGGCAACATCTTTTAACACACTTACAAACTTAATAACTTGAGTAAAAAAGGCTACGCAGAGAAATTTTAAATAATGTATTCTTTATACATTGATTAGTACAATGCCCCTCATTAAATACATATTCAAGTAAACCGACCTCTAACTTAAGACTTTTGCCCAATTTTATCCTATTGACCTTATATAATCCACACGAGATTTTTAATTTCACACATTAAATCTCCATTTATCTCATCATTTTCCTGCAACAATGAAATCCTCCAAACTATTCTAATTTGGTCTAAGGATGTAAAATATATTGATTTTCGGTTTAACATCTATGATCCAATATTTCAACACATCCAATTATGAAATCAACTCATTCCATCACAATGCATACTCAATTCACGTGCTCAATAATATCGAATTTCATATGGAAAAGCATAAATCAACCTGAGCCAGTAATCTATTCACCATTCATAAATCAATTCATAATGCAATATATTCTTATTGCTAACCAGATCAACTAACTCACGCAAGTACAAAATTATTTTTTTTTTTTGAATTTTTTGAATTTTTTTAATATCTAAAACAATAAAGCACATACAAAAACACACAAAACAAAAGAAAACTCATTTTTTCACCCTTAAACTTAAATTAGACATTGTCTTCAATGTCTTAAATCATAAGTTCGCATATAAAGGGTGAGGAAAAAAATGAAGAAAATACTTCCCTGATATGACGTAAAATCCAATAGCTAGCTTATCCTATTGGTCCCATTCTCTCCTTGATTAATGCTAATTGAAGTGTTCTACGACGTCATGTTCCTACACAATGGGTTAGATAAAATATTAAAGATAAAATATTTGGAACAAGTGTTACTTAGTTCAAATATCTAGTAAACCAATAAATGTTTAAAAGACCTAAGGGAACGTAAGGAGGGTGATGATTCCCTAACTAAAACTAATAACTAATGTAAATTATCCTATGACTAAAAATCATAATAAATAAAAGGGATGGAAGTATTTGGTTGCCTTCCAACAAGCGTTTGTTTAAAGTCTTGAGCTCAAATCTTGTTGTTTCTAGGATTTTCATGGTGACTTGAAAGGGAATTTTCAGCCCTACACTTTATGCACTTCTTTGTTTCATCTTTCATCCTCCACATAATCAAGTTTCCATTATTATCCCTACCAACAATTCCTCCTGTATCTGGCTTGCTTTGTAGCTCTCCCAATGATCCACTAATTGGCAATCCTCAAAGTAGGAGGGTTGCTTGATTGGATTCTCCACGGTGAAGCTTTGATGCTTATCCTCCGCCTTCAGGACTATTTCATTAATATCAAAATCCAACAAGGCTCGGCTTGTAGACAAGAATGGCCTTCCCAAGATTATTGGCATCTTATATGCCTCATCTATGTCTAGGATGACGAATTTAGCTGGAAAAATGACTCACCCGCCTTGATAAGCATGTCTTCGACTATTACGTAGGGGTACTT